CTCACAAATGGGCGTGAATTTCAAAAGACACAGAATGTTATAGCCACCAAGGGGGCAACACCCTATTAATGGCCAATGGAGAAGGGGGGGGGGGCAACTCATTAATTGTCATGGCTTTGGATTGAGATTTCCTTCAAAGTTCATAGAGGTGCGATGATCAGGTATTCAAAGCCAGCTCCATAAAGACATGGATGACCAGTTTGGTGTGGAGGAACTCGGGTGTCCTGTACAGTGCCCTGACCTCAACCCTACTGAACACCTTTGGGATGAATTGGAATGTCTACTACAAGCCAGGTCTTTTTTTGGCACCCAACAAGAGGCCTGTTATGAAATCAGTCAGTATCAACCTGACCTCACAAATGGGCACGAATTCCAAAAGACACATGGTTTGACCAGTTTGGTGTGGAGTGTCCTGCACAGAGCCCTGTCCTCAACCCTACTGAACACCTTTGAAATTAATTTGAAGTCAATGATGAGTCAGGTCTTTCCATTCAACTGTCACATACCTGACTGTGGAGCCCAATATGATGAGGGTGGCCATTTGCGCAATGCCACCCCTGGTAGTGGATACAGAGACTGCTAGGGCAGTGGAAGGGCACAGATGCCAGGGAGCTGTTGTAGTGGACTAAAGCTTGGCAGCACGGGAATCCTTCCAGTGGTAGTATGGAGGCTGGTCACAAATCTTGTTCCGCAGCAGCCAGGCAGAATGGTGCAGGGTCAGGATAGAGTTCAAGGTCCAAGCCAAGGTCAGTAACACATGCAAGTAGCAGACATAACAGGTAGGGGCGATCCAAGAGAGGTGTCAGGCAAAGCAGGGTCAGGAACAAGGTTAATAGAGTTTCAAGAACCAGGAACACAGTAACTAGAGCTGAAGACAATCCAGCACTGAAGCCAGGTAGACACTCAGTTTAAATAGGCTGCTAGGTGCCAAGATCTGTGGATGCGTGCGCACGCCTACGTACTTGCACATAGGCTGCAATGCTCATCCATGTGTGCATTCTAGTTCTTGCTCGTCTTGTTAGGCTACTAAGTGCACGGTTCTGCACATGCGAATAAGAATACGCATCTGCTGTACAAGATTCCTGACACCAACATCGCTACCTAACTTCACAAATAAGCACAAATTCCCACAGACACTCGCCAAAATCTTGTGGAAAGTCTGCCCACAAAAGGAGAAGACGCTATAGCCACAAAAAAGGGGCAACTCCATATGAATGATTTTGCTTTTGGAATCAGATGTCCAACAAACTCAAAGAGTTACATAGTTAGCCTGGTTGAAAAAAGACAAAAGTCCATCCATATCATCCAGAGATGTGATCATGAGACATCCTCAGACCTTCGACTATCATTGATTCTTTATCTAGTAATTTTTAATTATGTTGACATTTAAAGAAAACCCGAGACTAGTAATAGGAGATAAGTGATAAAATATCTTTCTGTGGAACTCCTGAGCGCGTCATATGCACCAACCTTTGTGAAGGAGGGAGAAGGAGATGCTGAACCATCACAATGAGGGTAGGGTTGTGACACCAAGAAATAGCTGCAAATTATTATTACCATTACTTTGTAAAGCACCATAATCTCATACTACCAGCAAGGGCATTACAAATACATAAAACATTTGGATAGAAGATGTACAAGACACAGAAAATGTTGCTTAGCCAACACACGCGGGGTTGATGGTCATGTCCTTTACTCTTATGCTCAAGAGCTCTTTATCTTTGAAGAACTTGTTGATGGACAGACCCAAAAGAGGTGAAGAATGAGCAATCAACAGATTATTTAAATAAATAATATTGAGGATTCCCTCACTCCAGATAAGTAAATAGTCTTTCAGTCATTCCTCCAGCCAGCGATCTAGCAAAACCAAGCCGCAATACTTTTCACTGGTCAAATAGTTCCTGTGGTTAACCAGTGAAGGAGTTCTTTGGACCCATTCACTGTTCATTTCCATATCCCGGTCTCCTTTCCCACTCGCACCCTGAATGATTGGGACAGTAGGTAAGCTTGCTCTTTATCATGTCCTATGACGATGTGAGTGCTCTGTGTGATCCTGAGTTAGGTACCTTTTTTAAAACTTTGTAAAGTCTAAATAGGGGTAATGGGGGAGCCGGTTCTCCCATAAAGCTGAAGGTTCAACAAAAAAGGCGAGCTTGCATGTCGAGCCGTTCACAAGTCACAAGGTTGGGTCTCTGACCTTTCTTACTAGTGTGAAGTTCATCAGAACATTGCTAAATGAACAAGCATTTCTGGGTGAACATCTGATTGTCTGCAAGGAAGGTCTGGCTTGTTCCAGTATAGAAGACCACACAAACTTTCTATATAAAAAGGAACATGAAGAGATTGCTGAGTGAGCTTCAGCTAGTTCCTGTTAAAATGCTGCTCTACATTCCAGTACATAGCTCTGCTTGCATTTTGACCTGCTTTTGGACCTTTGCTTACCTGTTTTGACCTCAAGTAGGCTGATTGGCTCTGCTTACTGCATTGTAGGTCTGCTGCCCTGCTGTTACTGACCTCAGTTCCAATCCTTGACCCCGATCTTGTCCTCTGCATTGGTACCTTCACTGACCTAATGTTGCTGACCTTTACTCGAACCTTCGACTCTGATCATGTCCTCTGAATTGGTAACTTCATTGACTGACCATTGCTGACCTTGGCTTGAAGTTTTGACTCTGATCCTGTCTTCTGAATTAGTACCTTCACTGCCCTACTCTTAATGACCTTGACTTGAACCTTCAACTCTAATCCTTTCCTCTGAATTGATACTTTTACTGACCAACTCTTACTGACCTTGGTTTGAATCTTCAACTCTAATCCTGTCCTAAGAATGGGTACCTTCACAGCCTGACCATTACTGACCTTGGCTTGAAGCTTCAACTCTGACCCTGTCCTCTGAATTGGTATCTTCACTACCCAACCATTAATGATCTTGACTTAAAGCTTTGACTCTGATCCTGTCCTCTCAACTGGTACCTTTACTGCCCAACCCTTACTGACTTTGTTTTGAACCTTCGAATCTTATCCTGTCCCCTGAATCGGTACCTTCACTGCCTGACCATTGCTGACCATGGCTTGATCCTACGACTCTGATCCAGTCCTTTGAGTTGGTACCTTCAGGGCATGATGGTAACTGACTTGGCTTGAAGTTTTGATTACGATCCTGTCCTCTGAATTGGTATCTTCACAGCCTGCCCACAGGCTGAGCCTTTGACTGTGATTCTGTCCTCTGAATTGGTACCTTCATGGCCTGACCATTACTGATCTTGACTTGAAGCCTTGACTCTTATCCTGTCCTCTGAATTGGTACCTTTACTGGCTTACTGTTACTGACCTTGGCTTGAAGGATTGACTCTGATCCTGTCCTCGGAATATGGTACCTTCACTACCTAACCGCTACTGGTCTTGGCTTGAACCTTTGACTCTGTCCATTGAATTGGTACCTGCTTGGTTTTTACCAGCCACAGCTTGTATCCTATCAACTGGCTTGGTATCCCCACTGTTCCTTCACGTGGATCCTGTCAAGTGGTCCACAATCATCTGGTCTATGCACCTGACACCCTCAGCAGATCCAGAATTGCCTGTACGACCACCACTCATGCTGCACATTGTCCTCATATTCTCTGTTGCCCCATTTAGGGTTGTGGACAGAAGTTGTAAGAGAAGTCCCCTCGCTAACTCAGTCCCCACCAGGTACATGATATTGCTATAGACCAGGTTTATAAACTGGATTCACGCAAAGTGGTTTGCTTTTTGCTTTCAGCACTGACCACGCCAGCTTCCCGAAACCCAACGATATCCACCCACAATTTGTATCTCTGTCTTCTCACATTCTGAAGATGCTGTTGTTCTGCTATAAGGTCACAATCTGACATGTCAACAAGTTGTGTCACTTTCTAATGTTCTCCGTTCTACAAACAAGCGTATTTCTTCTAGTAGATAAATAACGAGATGATTACCATCCAGATAAATTGCTCGGTTTGGTATTTAAGTCCTTCACCTCCTATGTCCTCATTAAGTTTTTGGTACCACTTTGCAGAAAGGTCAATTCATGCACATGGTGACATTCAGGGCTGGAACACATACGAGTCGTGTCACCACCAGCGACACAGTTCACATTTTTCCACAACGGCATCATTAAAAGGCATGGCTAATGGGACCGCATTTGTAGCAGAGGCACACCAAACCCTCCCCCACCCGAGCTTCAGACTGAGCTAAAACAATCAGGAAATTAAACAATTTGCTGCAGTTTGGCTGGTGAGGAAGGTGAGAATTGTCAGATTTAGTATCAAGAATTCCGCGTATGTTGGAGGACAACATTATTATGGACGTAGCATCAGATCCATGTTTGACATTAATCCCATGCATGCGCCCTCTTATTTTAAAGGGCGCTTCTAATTTGTGATACGACCCCAACATGCAGATCCCTTCAACCACTAGCAAGAGGCTCATCAATATGGGGACAAGGTACTGTGTCAGAGGGGCACCCCCGTATTGAGGGTATGTGTGCTTGGACTGGTTCAGGAGTGGGGGGGGGGGTCTCATGCTACCAATACAGGATAGGTGCCCTTAGCGCACTCCTGCCTGTTTCTGTGCTATTTCCCTACAAGAACAGAATCTGCACTTTGCACGGCTTTGATTTCTCCTCTTTCCTCCTTTTCTTTCATAATTCATTGATGGCGTTTCATTCCTCTCTGCAGGAACTCGCCAAAATTCATTTCAGATTCATGGCGCAGGACGGCGCACACTGTGCCACGGACCGACAGCTTACAAAACCTCCTTCATCCAGCCTGGACCAGAATTAATTTCGAAATGCAGTGTGTGTGTTCCGGGTGTGATACTGTGCTGGGCATTGTGTAGAGCAACCCTTCTCAACCTTTTTACCATGGAGGAGTCCTTCAAATGACTTTCAGGTGTCAGGGAATCCCACTAATAATTACTATATCTGCAGATCACAGCAATGTGGTTAGTGGAAAGAATGTCCCTTACATTGGGGGGGTCAGTGGGAAGAATGTCCCTTACATTGGAGGTCAGTGGGAAGAATGTCCCTTACATTGGGGGTCAGTGGGAAGAATGTCCCTTACATTGGGGGTCAGTGGGAAGAATGTCCCTTACATTGGTGGTCAGTGGGAAGAATTTCCCTTACATTGGGGGTCAGTGGGAAGAATGTCCCTTACATTGGGGATCAGTGGGAAGAATGTCCCTTACATTGGGAATTGGTGGGAAGAATGTCCCTTACATTGGGAATCGGTGGGAAGAATGTCCCTTACATTGGTGGTCAGTGGGAAGAATGTCCCTTACATTGGGGGTCAATGGGAAGAATGTCCCTTACATTGGGGATCAGTAGGAAGAATGTCCCTTACATTGGGGGTCAGTGGGAAGAATGTCCCTTACATTGGGAATCAGTGGGAAGAATGTCCCTTACATTGGGGATCAGTGGGAAGAATGTCCCTTACATTGGGGGTCAGTGGGAAGAATGTCCCTTACATTGGTGGTCAGTGGGAAGAATGTCCTTTACATTGGTGGTCAGTGGGAAGAATGTCCCTTACATTGGGGGTCAGTGGGAAGAATGTCCCTTACATTGGGGGTCAGTGGGAAGAATGTCCCTTACATTAGTGGATTTACATGGCTGTGTCATCTCTGAGCTGCACATCTAAGTCCCAAAAGTAGATGGTAACACTGGATGATGTCTGAACAAAGATGAGTCCTCAATATAAAGTTGGAAAGTCCATTCAATGTTACTTGGATCCCTACGATGTTGAATCCAGATTCCAGAGAGCACCTCACATGGTGATGGGTGGATCGGCTTCCTGGATCCGTGTTTTCCTTCTTCTGTACTGCCAATGAAATCCAAGGTAGGCCCGAATCCCATTGGTGGTTGTTAGAAACTTCTGAGTGCTGTTGCTTTGAAACACCATCTTCCTTTACTTAATACTCATCAAGGAGTCAGCAAGGGGGTGTGTTTTTTGGAATCCCTCTGCTGCATCACAAACAGGGGGTTCCCAGATCATTGGCTTGTCCTGTACAGAATCCTGAGATCTTGAGCAAGCAGGCAGTGACCCCAGTTTCAGGTTTGACCGGAGCGTGCCGGTAACTCTGGCCCTGCACCCTTTTATACCCCGATTTCTCTTTCCTTTTAAATTCTCCTTTGAGCCTCTAAGTCCCCCGAAGTCTCGTAAATTGTGGCTCTTTTCCTGCTGACTGTTCAGTCTCGCTTTAAGATAACTCACTTTGAGTGGCAGCCGGGAGACTTTAAATTCCGCATGAAGGATGCCGCATGAAGGGGTGGGATGTTTCAGCGCGAATGTAATTTAATAAATGTCATGCGAGGCATAGAAGAAGCGGAATGTCTCACGACCCCGACACTGATTTATCTGCCGCCAGTTCACCCAGTCATGCCGCTCCTGCCAAGCCGCGGCTGCCAACACATTTATTCCAGGGGCGGAAAGTTTCAGCAAAGCGCTGGAATGGCGGTGTGAGCGGCGTGACAATGACGGCGGGATGTGGAAAGCGTCCGAAATCCGTCCGTGTGCTGGGAGGAGAAAGTAAATTCCAACCTTAATTGGGACGGCTCCCCGTGTTGCGGATGTAAGCGGGTGGAATTATTACCTCTGTGCATACGGTGATAAAAAAAAAAAAAAAAAAATATGCTGCATGAAATTGATGCAGAGAGGAGAAATAATTGCAACGCTCCGCTCTACATCTCTGGAATAGGAGAGAGATGGAGGCAGAGCCAGGAAGAGATGTGGAACTGCAATGATTAATGTATGGGCTGATCTAAGGAGGCTTCACTGACTTCCTGGCCAGCGTAAGGACTTCCTCTAGTGCCGCGCTTTCATGGTCAACATACACACCAGCTTTGCCGGGACAGTCCCACATTTGGTGGAAGCCATCACGTCCTTTCTATTTGTTCTTCTTATTTTTACAAATTTGGCTGAGGTTCTGATGGTGGAACTGGAGACTGGAGGTGCTAAACCAAAGATCTGCTAATTATTCTGATTAGCTCCGGCCAAAATCAGGAAAGTTCCCAGGCATGGCTTTCAGTCACTGGAAATGTGTTCTCCCGAAACAAGTTAGGGGATATCAGCCACCACGTGCAGAGCATTTCTCAGTTTTTCTTTATTGCTGTCCTGGATTTGCCCAGATAGTCCCATATTTTGGGGCAAAGGACATATCCTTTCAATTTAATTTTCTTATTTTTATAAGTTTAGAGCTTTCTGGGCTGATTTTGGAACTGCAGATTGCAGGTGCTAAACCAGAACTAATTATTCTGATTAGCTCCGGCCTAAATCTGGAAAGTTCCCAGGCATGGCTACCAGTCACTGGAAATGTGTTCTCCCGAAACAAGTTAGGGGATGTCATTATCCTTCTGCCCCCACACACAGAGAAGTTCCACGTTTTCCTTTTTTGGCACATACAGTGGGGCAAAAAAGTATTTAGTCCGCCACCAATTGTGCAAGTTCTCCCACTTACAAAGATGAGAGAGGCCTGTAATTGGCATCATAGGGACACCTCAACTATGAGAGACAGAATGAGAAAACAAATCCAGACAATCTCATTGGCTGATCTGGAAAGAATTTATTTGCAAATTATGGTGGAAAATAAGTATTTGGTGAATATGAAAAGTTCATGTCAATACTTTGTTATATATCCTTTGTTGGCAATGACAGAGGTCAGACGTTTCCTGGAAGTCATCACAAGGTTGGCACACACTGTTGCTGGTATGTTGGCCCATCCTCCATGCAGATCTCCTCCTCCATGCAGATCAGAGCAGTGATGTTTTGGGGCTGTCGCTGGGCAACACGGACTTTCAACTCCCTCCAAAGGTTTTCTATGGGGTTGAGATCTGGAGACTGGCTAGGCCACTCCAGGACCTTGAAATGCTTCTTACGAAGCCACTCCTTGGTTGCCGGGCGGTATGTTTGGGATCATTGTCATGTTGGAAGACCCAGCCACATTTCATCTTCAATGCTCTTGCTGATGGAAGGAGGTTTGCACTCAAAATCTCACGATACATGGCCCCATTCATTCTATCCTGTACATGGATCAGTCATCCATGGAAACAGCCCCAAAGCATGATGTTGTCACCCCCATGCTTCACAGTAGGTATGGTGTTCTTTGGATGCAACTCAGCATTCTCTCTCCTCCAAACACGACGAATTGTGTTTCTACCAAACAGTTCTATATTGGTTTCATCTGACCATATGACATTCTCCCAATCCTCTTCTGGATCATCCAAATGCTCTCTAGCATGGTCTACAATTTTGTTTCTGGTGTCCTTCGACAGCTCTTTGGTCTTCACCATAGTGGAGTTTGGAGTGTGACTGTTTGAGGTTGTGGACAGGTGTCTTTTATACTGATAACAAGTTCAAACAGGTGCCATTGATACAGGTAATGAGTGCAGGACAGAGGAGCCTCTTAAAGAAGAAGGTCCAGGTCTGTGAGAGCCAGAAATCTTGCTTGTTTGTAGGTGACCAAATACTTATTTTCCACCATAATTTGCAAATAAATTCTTTCCAGATCAGCCAATGTGATTGTCTGGATTTGTTTTCTCATTTTGTCTCTCATAGTTGAGGTCTCCCTATGATGCCAATTACAGGCCTCTCTCATCTCTGTAAGTGGGAGAACTTGTACAATTGGTGGGGACTGAATACTTTTTTGCCCCACCGTATATGCCAGCTGTCCCACATTTGCTGAGACAGTCCCACATCTTGTAGACCTTGTAGACAGGGACAGCGAGGAGTGAGCACAGAAAAACTTTCAACTGAGGCTTTTCCCGCTAGATGTTTAGAGCTTCTGAGGCTCACTGAGGACTTGAGGTACTAAACCGGAGTATTGGTAATCATTGTGATCGGCTCCGGACAAAGTAAGGAAAGTTCCCAGGTATGTCTATCAGTCACTGTAAACATGTTCTTCTGAAACAAGTTAGGGAATGTCAGTTGCCTTCCCTGTCACATCCACAACAGTTCCCAGTTTTTCTTTTTTCTTTCTGGGCACATGCATGCCAGCTGTCCCTGATTTACCAGAATAGTCCCGTATTTTGGTGCAAACAACCATCTCCCTTCAATGTATTCCTCTTATTTTTATAGGTTTAGAGCTTCCGGGGCTGATTTCGGAACTGGAGATTGGAGATGCTAAACCAGAGCTAATTATTATTAGCTCCGGCCTAAATCTGGAAAGTTCCCAGGCATGGCGACCGGTCACTGGAAATGTGTTCTCCCAAAACAAGTTAGGGGACGTCATTTCGGAACTGGAAATTGGAGATGCTAAACCAGAGTTCTAGTAATTATTCTGATTAGCTCCAGACAAATTCTATGGTTGAACTGGATGGACTTTTGTCTTTTTTCAGCCGGACTAACTATGTAACTATGTAAAATCAGAGACTGGAAGTACTAAACTGGAGCATTGGTAATCATTCTGAATAGCTACAGACAAAATATGGGAAGTTCCTGAGTATGACTATCAGTCACGGCAAATGTACAGCAAAGATTAAGTGCAGAAATTCATTCAACGGAGGCTTCACCCATCATATGTTTAGTGCTTCCAGGGCTGGTTGAACATTGGAGATGCTAAACCAGAACTCTAGAATTAATCTGATTAGCTTTGGCCAAAACCCAGAATGTTCCCAGGTATGGTCAGTAACTCTAAACGTGTTCTCCTGAAACAAGTTGGGGGATTTCAGCTGCCTTCTGCCCCCACAACCAGACCAGTTCTCATTTTCTCCTTTTTATGGATGTCTTCCACATTATCTGCTAAGTGCACCACAGATCTAAGGAGGCTTTACTGATTTCCTATAAATATTATAAGCGCATGGATAAATAGTTCATAAAATATATAGATATAAAAGATGATCCACTTGATGTCGCAGTATACCAAGGCAAGTTGTCACAGGAACAAATTATAAAAATGCGCACTCACCAGACGCGCATAGATAATGCGCACGTAATCAGTATCCACCCAGATCAGTTAGGAAGGCGGAATAGGTGAGCATCCATGTAAAGGTAGGTAATTATTATTATTATTATTATTATTCAGTAATAAAGCGCCAGGTAATTACTTGACAGAACAATCTTGGTCGGTATGTAATAAAAAAGCTGCCAGGTCCAGAGGTCCCCTTAAGGTTGGATGGGTGCACAGACTGGATACAGGGCTCCCTCCCTCTGGGGGTAGTGGATTGCAATGGGATATCCTGGAAATTAATTAGCTCCAATGGGAGCCAAAAAAGATGCCCATAGTGTAGTATTGTTAAGAAGACTTTATTCAAAGGATGCTAGTACATTTTATATTTTTTTTTCAATATGTTTAATTTTGTTTTGTTTTAATGAGAGATAAAAATACATTTTACAGATCAATGCACAAAAGCTGAGCAACCAATAAATCAACAAAGGAATGATTGTAACAAAAATGGTGCAAACAGGTCCGTGATTGGTCAGTGAAAGAGATATCAGCCATAAGACTCCGCCTCCGCAACATCGCCAAAATCCGCACGTTCCTAACCCCAGAAACCACTAAACAGCTCATCCACTCCCTCATC